GGAGGCCTGCTCTCCCTATTCTTGTGCGCGCAGGAACCGAGACGGGAATGGCAGAGAGCAGCACAATAACAGCGTGATGGTGTTCTGGCTATATGTTCTCTTCTCTCTCGCGTACAAGAGAGAGTGTCCCCTTTTATGCAGTGACAAAAGGAAGAGAAGTTGAAGAGCTAGGTGCATGAAGAGTTAATAGCCATCATGTCATTGTCTGTTACAAGTAACTTGTGAAACCGACAAATGAATTATCCGTTACTGGTAACGGAAACCACTATAACACCGTGAACCACTAAATCATGATGCACCAACACATAATAGTCATCATGCACTTAACCTCTCATGAACCATCATCAAACTGTAAGTTACACCACATGAAGGACCCAACAAATTATACCTAGCATTAACTTTGACCTTAGAATTTCATTTTATTTAACTGCTGAATAAAAATTAGACAAACTCAATTAAATCCAACACTTATACATTGTTAACCTATGTACAAATTACGAAGACCAAACGGCCTGTCGGCCTCTAAAAAACACACCTGCTTCTCGCAAGCCCCCAGTCCCCACTGGCACACAGAAAACCGGGCCTCAAGCAACGTACGCACGCTAGCTGTACAGTACATGTACAGCCTGTACGGCACCCTAGCTGCCACTGCAAGCGCAAGGTCACTGTCCCTGTCCGTCCCGCGGCACTGGCACTGGCTGCCCCAGCGCCAGTGTGGCCGTGTCCTGCCACAGCCGCGCCTCCATCTCCTTCTCCCTCAGCTTCCGCTGCGCGCGCCGCAGCGCCGACTCCAGCGCCTCGATCCGCTGCCTGTCCTGCCGGTGCTGGAGCTCGTGCAGCCTCTGCTCCAGCTCCGTCGCCGAGACTCCTCCCTCGTGCCGCCGCTCGCACGACTCGTCATCGTCGTCGTCCTCGCTCTCGTCGACGGCCACGGCGCCTCGCTGGGAATTCCCGCGGCCAGTGCCGAACCGCCCTCCCTCTAGCTCGATGAACTCGCCGTCGTCGTCGGACGACGACGACTGGACCGAACACTAAAATCAAACGCCATACACGCACGCAACGCAACGCAAACAAAGATCTGTACCTGATCAGGTGTGTCTTGCTCGGTGTCGCACTTGCACTCTGGCGGTTGATGGCGCCGTGCAGCCGGCTCTGCCTCGACCTCTGCTTCCGACGACGCCCGCTCCCCGTCCTCGTCGCGCCGGATCTCCAGGCATTTGGTGGTGCTCGTGTCCGAGACGCAGCTCGACGACGACGCGGTGGTGGTGGTAGTGGTCGACGACGGCCGCAGGTTGTTGCAGGCTTTCGGCGTGACAAGGACGACGTGATCATCCGGGGCGCCGCCCTTCACCCTGCTAGCCTCGTCTCGGATCTCCTTGAGGAGCGTCTCCATCTGCGCGCGCACCTCGGCCATCCGGTTGAGCTCCACGCATGTCCTCGCCAGGAGGAAGAGCATGCTTAGCCCCATCCCGGTTTGCCCTGCCGCCACACTGCCGCTGCCGCTGCTTCCCGCCGCCGCTTGCTTCCATCCTGCGATATATGAATATGATGGCCGGGAGCAATCAGGGATCGATGACAAGTTGACAACACAACTAGACGACGACGACGTGGAGGTTAAAAAGAGAGAGTGACCACGCGCGCGCGCACCTGAGGAATCCACGGACGCGTCCTCGCTCTTCTCGGCCGCGGCGGCCTCCTTCCGGCTACCCCTTCCGCCGCGCTTCCTGCCGAACCGGATCCTGGCGCAGGTGAACGTCGGGAGACGCAGCCGCGGCGGCGTCTTCGGGGAAGGCGGCGAGGCCTCCTCGCCGCCCTCGCCTTCGCCGAGGTAGTCGTATATCGTCCTCCTGTTCCTCGCAGGCGTCGCCTCTGCTGCTTCCCCGATGTCGCCGTCGCCGGCGGAGGCCATCGCGTGTGCGCGCGCAGGAGCTCGGAGCACCGAGCACGAGACGCGCGCGTCGAAGTGGGCGTGTGGAGTGGATAGGCCGGAGTGGACAGAAGAGGGCCGGGGCGGCAACGGAGATGGATGGTGCTAGTACGGTGGGGGCACGCGACACGTCGTCGTGTTCCCGTTGCCGGACCGTGTGGCAGCTGCCCCAGAAAAGAACATTCCATTTCCTATAGACGAAGGGGGGAAATCACCAGATTCCTCACTGTGGCTTTGCCTATTTCGATGTCAAGTCTTCTGGACCCATATGCTAGATTAGTAGGCGTACTGTGAAGGAATGACATTGCGATTATCCTGACGGGACATTGAGTCGTTAACACAGGTGGATCAGCAGTGCTGTATCCAACTAGTACACTTGGGACGACAGGGAAGAAGAAAAAGGGCCATCATCAAGTCCAACATGGGGCCGTCTCAGTCTGTGAGTCTGATGCATGTATAGTCGTCATATGGTCCGCCAGCAACTGCTGATCGGCGACGCAGTGCTGGAGATTACGCGGGTGAAAGCAACCCGCCGCGCGGCTGGGGAGGCATGGGCGTGAATGCTGCAAGTGTCAAGCAAGCGCCCCATCGGCCATGGCCCCGTCCGTCCCCGCAGCCCCATCAGGCCGCCAGACGCCAGGGACCCCGCGACAAGCCTAACCCCGGCCAGAAGCAAGCAAGCGGCCAAGAACGCTGATTGATTTAATAAATCCGGCCTGCATCTCGTCGGCTGACCGGCCGGCCGCCCATGCAGGCGGAACGCGTCGGCATCGGCGGTAAGCTAGCTGCCAGCGTGGCAGCGTGCGCCGGGCGGGAGGTGGCCTTTTTACTCGCGGAGTACACTACACAAAATCTTTTGTGCAGCGTCTGCGGCCTCGGAGGCGGGCGGCCCGGTTGCCCGCCTCGGTTATTCGAGGAAGGGGAGCCGGGCCAGCAACCACCTCACTTAACTGAGGCGGACATTATTTGTAACATAACCGTTTCGGTAAATCAGGTCCAGCCCGCTAGCTCACACTAGCCCACTACCCATCTTCAATATATAAATGAAAACAGAAAACCCTAAACACTCCCCTCTCGCGCTCTAGGCACCGCGCCTTGCCCTTCTCCGCTCCACGCCCTCGTGACCTCCCTCTCCGCTCCGCTCGGCCTCGCACCATGCCTCTCCTCCCTCCTCCCGACCTCCCTCTCCCACTTCCTCCTCCATCTCTCCAGACAGCGGCAGTGGCGGCGCCACCTCCCCCACCCCTCTCCCTCCCATCTCCCTCAGATCCGGCGAGCCAGCGACGGTGGCGCCCTCCCCCACCATCCCCCTTAGATCCGACGAGCCAAGGTGACCCAGGCGGCGCCTGCTGAGCGACCGGTGCTCGCGGCCTCTCTCCCTCGCGGACGGGAGCGACGGTCGCGCCCTCCGCTACCCTCTCCTAGATCCGGCCCCCTCCCCCAGGATCCGGTGTTCTCTGCATGCGACGGCGGCTTAGCGAGTGGCGGTGCGACCCCTAGCGGTGGCGGTTTCGCGTGGATCCGGCAGGGGCCGGAGGGGCCTCTCCGCGGCGCGCTACGTTCTCGCTCCTCGGCGGCGGATTCGGTCCAGGAGCACGGCGTGGGGACGGGGCCTCCTCCCCCGGCCAGATCCGGCGGCGGCTTGGCGTGGGGACGCCGGATCCGACGGTAGCTCGGCGCGGGGATGCGACGGCAGCGCTGGGCCACACGGAGCAGGTGAGCTCGCCGGTGGGCTTTGGGCTTTTGTTTGTTTTTTTAATTCATTAACCGTGCGGTCATTTACAAGGTGCCCGCCTCAGTTAATTGATTATTACAACCTCCTCGACTAAGGTCACAATTAACCGTGACCTTTTTGCATAGGCGGTTGTAAAAATCGTGACGGTTAAGCATTTTTGTCCACCAGGGCCTTGTTTAGTTCGTGGTTAGAAATCAGTATTTGACACTGTAGACTTTCGTTTGTATTTGACAATTATTGTCCAATCATGGCATAACTAGGCTCAAAAGATTCGTCTCGTAATTTACAATCAAACTGTGTAATTAGTTATTTTTTTATCTATATTTAATACTCCATGCATGTGTCCAAAGATTTGATGTGATGAAGAGAGAGTGAAAAAACTTAGAATCTAAACAAGGTGTAGGATTAAAATTTCTGTAGCAGTGGTAGGTGCCATTTCGCGTCATGAGACATGAGATAGTCGCCAGCGATGGAGGACTTCGCGATCGAGTGCATGGTTAGTGACTTGACGAGGGACTGATCGATCGACCGAGCACATCCCGAGATCAATGATCGATCTCGTCTGCTGCTGTGGACGGATTCGGACCGGCCCGGTCGCAGTCGGCTGGCGTGGAGGCCGGTAGTTAGGGAACCCACCAAACGGTGCACTGGTCGGTCGGTCCCATCGGGTCTCCTCGTCCCGTCGAGCTCACTCGCCAGTGCACACTGCACAGCGTAAACCCGGGAATCTCCCGCGAGGAAAGGCCACACGACGTGGCACCTACTCATCCATCAGCCTTTATTACGGACGTTCAATTAAATTCTCTGCCTTTTGGTAAATATTTCTCTTATTAACTGTAACATTTGGATTGTCGGCATCGCAGTTGTCGTGCCGGAGTGGTTAAAGGGCATGACTCGAAATCACGTGGTCTTTGCCCGCGCATGTTCGAATCCTGCCTATCACGATTTTTGTGCTCTTTTTCTTTACTTTTACTTTTTGGGCCAAGCCCACATTGCCCAGCCAACTTTGGTCGTTGCCATCGAGAGACTGCTGGCCCGTAAGCTTCTTACCCGATACACGGTCTTACTTGGGTTGATTCATCGCCATTGAGCGACAGCTGGGCCGTAAGCCTCTTGCTCGACACAGGATCTTACTTGGGCTGATACTGATAGCCTCGGGTTGTAGCGGTCCACAATCAATTGTCGACACAGGATCTTACTTGGGCTGATACTGATAGCCTCTAACGCTTGCAACATACCCCAATAACATCTGAAACATTTAAAGTGTGAGCTCGCAACGTGCGTTTTTCACCCTTCTTCTGTGTGACGCGGAGCAGAGCGAGGAACAGATGGATCCAGCTAGCTGCGTTTGCGCTTAACCTGAGCCCGGCCAGCGACGGCCCCCTCTTCTAGAGTGCTCCCGACGATTGCCATGAGCAGGAGGTGGACGCTGGGTCGCGGCGCGTTAGAGGCGGAGGTCTTCCTAGCCGCCGACCAGGCATTCGGACCCCATGGTGGAGGCGGCAGCGGCATTCGAGAAGCTGCGATCTCCCTCTCCATGGGCGAGCAGTGGTCGGGCAGCAACGCTGATCGATCGGCAGGTTTGCTACCAATGGCGAGCACCCGCAGCGGCGGAGAAAGCGAGCGAAGGGCGGGCGATGTGGTGGGCGCGCCCGCGGCGGTCGGTGCTGTGTGGGGAAACTGTCGCTCTCTCTCTCTCCTTTTAGAAACCGTGTATATGTCGTGAGGGGAGGAGGTCTGTGGGCCAGTCCGCAGGCCCATCTACAAGCGTCCGTTCGGATGGATGCGGGACGGACGCCCGCGCCGGAGCATTAGCGTATATAATTTGAAATCTTTTGAAGAATTCGGTCCTTTTCTTTGGCACTGTTTTTTATAGCCTAAAATACTTCTATCATTTCTTTGTCTCTCCAATCACTGACCTAGAGGCCGGGCTCATGTCCCATCCTCTTCTCTTTTCTTATGCATCCACTGATGCTGACTCCATGGGCCGCCGCGCTTCGGCGGATGAACGCCATTAGTGGGCCGCAAGCTAGATCCGGTTGTCCTTGGGACGAGGGCGGCCAGCTTGGGGTGACAAGCACGGACATGGATGTAGGCCCGCTGCTGGAAGCACTAGTGTGAGGCGGAGGCAGACAACGTCGGTTGCCAGAGTAGAGGATGCCGAGGAAGGTGAGGGGAAGTGCATGCTGGAGGGGAGAAGATGGTGCCTCAGGCACCAATGTGGAGTAGAATGCCGTGAGAGTCGGAGCCTGCCCGCCAGCTCCATGGGCGCCTACTCGCCATGGGAGCTCGAGCTAGAACAAGAGAGATGAAGATGGGTGGGGACTGGGAGAGAGGATGTTGGTGAGGCGTGGCCCCACTTTGTAAGTGTGGAAGAGAGGGGGGTAGCAAGGGTATTTCAGGCCATACAAAAAATTGTATTACCACATACGCCTGCACGCGTGGGTGAAAGGTCCTTGTTGGTTTTGGTAATTGAGTGACAACCTAGGTGGACTAATTGTGTTTATGTGAGATACACAGGTGATTAGTCCACAGGTACATGTGTATGAGCAACATATGCCATAGAGGTGAAAATGGCTTGGAGATGTTGCAAAGCTCACACATGTGATGATGAAGGAGCTTATTGCACATGAGACATGACATTGAGTCATGTGATCAAGGTGGAGAAGATCAAGACAAGACTTGGCTTGATGGACCGGTTGCAAGCGTGAAGGGCAAGTCAAAGGCTTTGGAGTGATGGACCGCATGGCGGTGAAGCTTGAGCAAGACTTGGCGCCGATGGACGATAGCAACGGTGAAGAGCAAGTAGAGTCAAGATCGATGAACCAATATGATCATGTGATGATATGAAGTGGATCATATCATTGTTGATCGTGTTGGTGCATGTGTTGCATCGACATTGAAGGAGATGGAATGAAATGCGCAAGGCAAAGGTATAACCTAGGGCATTTCATTTCACCGGTCATAGGTGTGTAGAGAAGTTTATGACCGGGTTTAGGATAGATGGCCGTACTATCAAGAGGGGCAAACTTGTTTGCATATCGGTCATCTAGTGCCACTCGAGTGATCTAACTTTGCATTGTCGCTAGGATCGAGTGGCGTGGCAAGTTGAGTGGCTAACATCCTTTGGAAAATGATTGTGAAAATGCTAACACACATACACATGGTGGTGTACACTTGGTGGTGTTGGCACATTTACAAAGGAGGTGGTGTTTGCAGGGGTGAGATGAGTTTGGGTCCCTCTCTCCCTCCCGCCGAGCTTTCGGAAAAATAGAATGCCTATTTTCTATTACGCCGGATGCAAGTTCTTGTGGTTAGCACATTGGAGCAAGGGTGATGAAGTTAGAAGTAAAAACGAGTTAGTCGCAAAGATGCTGGCGTCGGTCAACTGACCGAACGCTGGATCTGAATGCATCGGACGCTGGCAGGCTGCGTCCGGTCAGGCTGACGTACGATGACGCAGAAGCTGGAGTGTGACCGGACGCTGGCTGCGTCCGATCAAGTGTGACCGGACGTGTCCGGTCGAGGTTGGTACCTTACTGGAAACGACCGGACGCTGGGGGTTCAGCGTCCGGTCAGTTGAAAGTCGCTGCGTCCGGTCAAGTCAAGTGGCGTTGGAATCGGGACACGTGGCCGTCTATGGCGCACGGACGCCGAGGTCAGCGTCCGGTCAACTCGACGAAGCGTCCGGTCGGCCCGACCGTTGCCCACTGAAGGGGTAACGGCTAGTTTAGCCCTTGGGGCTATAAATAGAAGTGGCCCTCGGCCATGGTGGTCTTTGAGCACCTCAAGGGACTTAGTGTCCATGCTTGTGAGTGCTTGGGAGCCCTCCATCACACATATACTTGATAGTGATCATTCGATTGTGTGAGTGAGCGATTCTAGTGCGATTGCATCGTGAGGTTGCATCGAGTGGCACTAGGTGGTCGTGTTGCAAGCCGGTGGTGCTTGTTACTCTTGGAGGTTGACACCTCCTAGGCGGCTTAGTGGTGGTCTCCGTCGAAGCCCGCAAGAAGGTTGTCAGCGGCGCTCGGAGAAGTGCTTGTGAGGGGTACTTGTGCTGCGCCCATGGAGTCGTCATGAAAGAGCAACTTTAGTAAAGCGTGTCATTGAGCTACCCTCACTCAAGGGGTAGGTTCTTGCGGTGCCCGACGTGCGGGCTTAGCGGGTGATGCTAATTAGCCGCCGAACCACCAAGTGAGCGGTCGACACAATGGGGACTAGCGTGTTGGCAAACACGTGAACCTCGGGAGAAAAATCATCGTGTCAACCTTGTTCTTCCCGTTGGTTTGCATCCCCATTACACAAGCTTGCAATTACTTATATATATATATATATCTTAAGCTTGTGTAGTTGCTCTTGTAATTAGATAGCTTGTGTAGCTAGCTAATTACCTTCTTGCTTGTGTAGCATAGAAGTAGCTCCCTTGCGTGGCTAATTTGGTTTTAGTAACCTTGTTAGTCACATTGCTTAGTTTGTGTAGCTAAGTATTTGCGCTATCTAATTAGGCGTTGGTTGCCTTGTTATTGAGCATTGCTAGTGAGCTTAGTTAGCTTTGTGCTTTTGCTTACTAGCATGTGTAGGAGCTCCCTTGTTACTTAAAGTACTAGTGGCATAGGTTTGTGTGACCTTGCTCCTAGAATTGTTTAGGAGAGCTCTAGCTAGCCCGGCACCTTAGTTGCTTTATTAGTATCTTTGCAAGGTGCTAGTGAACATATATAGAGGGGTGTAGTCTTGGCTAGACCGATTGTTTTAATTCCGCATTTATATCGGTTAGCCGACGCGATTAATTTTAGAAAAGACTATTCACCCCCCTCTAGTCCGCCATCTCGACCCTTCAGTGGGCCTGACGTCAGTGGAGACATATAAAACAACATGGTTCAAACAATAAATGAATTGTAATAACAAGTTTCGAAATAGACAAATAGTAATGACATAACTTAGAAGACACGGTAATTATAGCATGGATCAAATAACCCTAAAACAAAGGGTCATCTGAGTAGAGGATGGTTGTGGAAGAGATGACAGGTTACTAAGGATTAGACGGGCATGGGAGACCGCGTCGTACAACAGATGGGTGTGGGAGACGTTGAAAGTTTCTCATAACAAAGAAAAAATCTAGCATTGCATGGTAGCATTTCGAGAAGTGGATTTTGAGAATGAACTAGAAATAAGAGAGAGAGAAAAATGTTTTTCACCTTTTATTAATAGGTGGATTCTAAAAACCATAAGTTGTTATAGATGATAGCATAATATCTTAGACTTGTGCTTTGACGTGGGACAAACAAGGGAATTTTTTTCAACGGGCAGATAAACTACGCCTCCTCCAGCCAACAAATCTGCACCCGAAGGGGTTCGACTAAAAGTGACGAGCTAACTATTGTACGAGTAAGCTGAACAAAGGCCATAAAAAAATCCCTACAGCCGGCACTGTATTATTAGACTTCCGATAATAGGTCCATAAGATGAATCTAGATTTCATGAATACGATGTCGTATAGCGTCGGGGTCAGTGTCTGTGCTTCAGGCATTGCAGTTCCCGCCGAGTCAAACGTGGGCCGCTACTGGACGACTTGTACACCGGAAAAGTTGCGCTCGTGCGCTTGACTGAATAAGCGTATCGTATGCAGTTTCGTATACGACGACGCGATTGTTCCGTCTATATCCAAAAACGAAGTGGACTGATTTTTCCAAAGAAGGTACTAACAATTTGCACGAAGAAAACGACGGGTACCAGACGACAAGACTACGTGACTAAGCTAACCGCATCATCTACAAGCCCACCCCGCGGCCACCATACTATAACAAATCATAACACAGTGTCAATTCCAGCCTGATGAACGAAGCCGAATTTTCCGACCCTATATACGACAGGGAGCTCATCAGGGGTTCAGTATGAGTAGAAAGCAAGTGAGCTACGACTTCACCGGCGGTCCGGCGCCCCAACATGTCTGGGCACTTGGGCAGGTGCAGGTCCCATGGGCTTGACCTGCCGCTGCCGATCGAGCGAGCTCCCCTCGTCGTCGTCGCGGCCGGGGTGGAATCCACTCGATCCAGCTGGGGCGTGCGGAAAAATGATACACGGATTGCGGCGCGCGCACGGGTTGGCCGACGACGGAGCTGTAGATAAATCAATAAAAAACCGGAGCCATACAGATACAGCAGCGTCCTGGCCGGTCAATCGACAAGCAGCTAGCAGGCTAGTGGGGCGGAGGAGTCCGTCCGGTCGTCCAGCGCCCCATGTTGTGGCCGGCCCAGTCGTGCGGTGATCGCGACGGGCGGCGACCTCCGAACCTTCCTGTGAAAGGCCTCTCTGTCTCTCTCTCTCTCGCTGGACGGACGGACGGACAGGCTGGATCGCGACAGAGTGAGCGAGTGACAGACGACGGCACTCTCTGGATTTCTACGGTTGCCAGTCCAGTTCGTTCCACCCCGTTTTCCTCCCTTTTGTTCCCCGCCCGTGATGGTATTTCTTTCTAGACGCTAGGCTAGTGACAGCCTCTAAGTTGATTCGCTTGTTATCTTAAGTAGTGATGAAAG